GGTTTAGGGTTCAGGGTTTGGAGGCACCAACAAACACCAAGTCAAAATCTGCATCACTTGACAGCTCGGGCCTGGGCCTTATGCAGCTTTCACAGGGGCTACATGATTAGAATAGGGCTTAAGCGGTGGGTTGCATTATTCATCAACCAGGGTTGGACAGGAATATGAATACAGTAATTGGAAGATGGAAGGTCAAAGCCAACAACCTGTATCTCCAATAACAACAGCCAACCTTGAAGCTACCCCAATGGCAAGACGTCAGCTACGGACTAAAGTTAGAATGGGGGGGCCTATAGGGGCATGTAAACGGAGTAATTAGGGGGGGAGCTTTAAGGAATATACTATAACTTTAATCCAAGGCTGTGTAGTGATCCGGGCATACTGCGAAAAGCCACGGGATCCTTCATGAAAACAATCTCAAGGTTGGATGTTTGACTTCCATGGGTGCCGCTACTACCTCGTCACTATGCTTGTTCTAAGAAAATTGGGGCTAAGTAAGATTCATCAAGAGGGAACCTGGTGGGGGGGATCAGTTGTTCTAGGATAACTGGGGCTAAGTAAGATTCATTAAGGGGGAACCTGGTGGGGGGGGGGTCAGTATAGAGGGCTGGCAGTTCTTCAACCTATCAAGCTTCATGATGATTGTCCTTTTTCGTTCCCTGCACCAAGAGCCTGATTCACAACCTAATCCCTAGTATCGATATAAAGTAGCTCTCAGGCCCTTTACCACACATTGTCCGGCAACTCGCCGGGAAAAACGACATCACCCGCCAGAATGTGACGAGACACCACAACCACAGGAACAATGCCATCCATCATAATGTGAAGCCTCATGCTCCCTACTATGTCACCATGACCCCCTCTGCAAGCCCTACCTTTCGCAATTGCTATGCACGCACGCATCAGTAAACCATGACACTTAGAAGTTGCAAAAGGGAACCGACATCAAGGATGATAATTACGTAGCGCAACCCGAACCCCTAAGTCCCCTGGACCCAAAACCTTGAGCTCTAGACCCTAGAACCCCAAGCCCTAAACCTTAAACCCTGAACCTTGAGCCCTAAACCCCAAGGTTGCCAAGTGGCCCAGGCATCATCCCAGGCGCCCGCGCCGACCTCGGCGCCGAGAAAGGCCCCTCGGCTGTCGCAGAGGAAGACGGTCCTCGCTTCAGGGCATGAGGTATGTTCACAGGAGGAATAGTGGGATGATGTGAGGTATGTATATGTGTATATAATATATATATATATATTTATACATAGATAAAGGAATGCAAGGTTTAAGGTTAAGAGGAGAGTTGGGGTGTGGGTTCAACATTACGGGCTTAGTGCATAGTACGAGGGTAGCATGCATAGGGGGCAATTATACCGGGTATACACACATATGTACATCTGTATGTATGTATGTATGTATGTATGCATGCATGTCCGTATCTGTATCTGTATCTGCATGCATGTATGTATGCATGCATGCGTGCATGCATGCATGCATGGATGGATGTATGTATGTATGTATGTATGTAAGTATGTATGTATGTATATGTATGTATCTGTATGTATCTGTATGTATCTGTCTGTACCTGTGTGTATCTGTATGTGTATTGTGTTTCTCGGTGCATGTATGTGTATGTACCTGCATGCGTATGTGTATTGTGTATGCATGTATGTGCTGTATGTGTGTGTGTGTGTGCATGTGTGCAAGTTGTATGTGTGTATGTTTTCTTGGGCTTTTCAACCCAGTCTCTAAAAATGGTTAGGGGAACCCCATACGCTCCACACAATCCCTATTATCCCGACTTACCATAATTGAATGTTTACATTTTTCATCGCTTAGAGAACTGCTGAGGTGATGGCCATCACAGGCTATGAGGTCGACCAGGTCACTCACGAAGGACCTCAGACGGGAAGCACTACGACCGAGAGCAACCTCGGAGGGTTCTCTTGCTATCCTGAATGCTCTCAGGGTGACAGGTGGGTGGGGTTTAGGGTTTAGGGCTTAGGGTGGGTGGGTTTTAGGGTATAGGAGTTCATGGTTTAGGGATGAAGGTGTCCCAATCACGTACCCGAAAAGGAGGGATCCCCATTTCTACATCTAAAGGACCGAACCTGTTTTTTCGGGGCTCACAGATGGGGGCATCCCATCCCTCAATACCCTAAAGCCAAAAACCCTAAACCCTAAAACTCTCAACCCTTGAGCCCGCGACCATGGCTCCAGGTCCATCCCAAGCTACCATGCCTACAACCACCACTACTTCTCATGGCTTGTCGGAAGCGATGCTGAAGCCTGCTGGTTGTTTAGGGTCCAGGATTTTAGGGTTTATAGTCCCTCTTAAGTAGATAGACTATGGGGTAAAGGGGATCTGCTTATAAACAACCCAAAGCCATATTCTATCTACTGACGGGGGACTATAGGGTTTAAAGTTTAAGAAAGGCATGGACATGAAAATGGAAACTGCGGAGTTATTGCGGATCATACAGACGCTACTATCAGGATCCATTCCTTCGTGACCCACCCCTAAGGGTCCAAGTGCCCAAATAATTAATGTACATTTTTTTGTGCCCCAAAAACTCTTGAGACCATGGTGCTTGGGCCTAAAGCCCACATTATTTGGGTACTTGGACCCTTAGGGTATTGACGGCCAGTAAGGAAGTCTATGATCGAAAGCACCCTGTGCACATCCCGAACCCAACTTCGACTTTGGGTCATTGTTGAGGCAGAAGTTGAGTTTTTTGCGTGGTGCTCAGTTCCCAAACACGAGATAAGGTTTAGGATTTCGTAGGGTTGGCTTAGGTTTTTTGGGTAGTTTGTTCTAGTCTTGCCGCTGACCAAGGACTGGAGTCAGGGATCTGCCGCATGGCCACGAATATCCCACCAACATCGTGTTCAAGGAGAACCCGGGTGGTGAGTTCCGGAAGAGCTACCATGGCTACCCTGGAGGCTTCGCTCAGCTGATCCACTCTCCAAAAACCTGGCTGGTTGAGCCCATGCAGATTCTAGGGTTAAATATACACGGCCGTTGTGTTCCTTCCTTATAACCCTTATACAAACCCTATATAATCCCTATAATCCCAATAGTTTCCATTTTCTTTTCCATTATCCCTATATAACCCTATATAACCCAATGGGTAACATCACAATACTTTGAACCCAAAACCTGGGGCTGCGCTAAAGGGGAGCCTTTTTTGATACCTCGGTTTTCAGAATCCTAGCATTGATACCCTAATTAAGGGGGACTGTAACCCCTGTGTGGAGCTTAATCAATGACACAGGGGCCTTTTTAATTCCTCGGTTCCTGGGATCCTAGGATTGATACCCACAATCGCAAGTTCGGCATCAACAGCCAGGAGGGCTACACGGAGTGGTCGGAGGTTCTAAAAATCATTGGTCCCCTGGTTTAGGGTTTATAGGGTCGTAGGCTGTAGGGTTTACGGTTTAAGGGTTTACGGTTTAAGGGCTTATGTTTAGCGTTTAAGGGAATTTAGGATTTAAGGTTTAGAGTTTCTTGAGCACAGGGCCCGTAGTTCTTGGCAGGCTGGGTGACGAGACCTGGATCTTTAAAAATGTGAGAGGAGAGCCCCCCCCTTAGATCTTACCCGATCCCAGAGGGGTGACCCGGGCCAAACCCCTGACCGTAAACCTTACACTTCCCGCATGCAGCCTGATCCAGTAAACCCTTAACTGTCAACACATTTCCTAGCGTATTTACATGAAAGGGGACGCCAATCTGAGCTAAAGGTCCAGCTGATATTTTAGCATGCTTTCTAAGAAGCCCAGTGATACCCCCTTACTTATTTTGGCTTCCGCGTTCCTTCATCCACTTGAAAGAAAGCACCCTTCTGTACCATGGTTGCTGGGCTGCCGAGCCTCGCGGACAAGTCAATCGTGCCCAGCGGGGTGCAGGACTGAACGCCTATGCATGCCCAAAACGTAGTATCCCTTCCATGTACACTTGTTCATCGAGCCGTATCTGTTGAGCGCCGAAAAGGGTTCTGTAATGATATACATCAGACAGTTCCCCAACGAAAGATGTTGAAAGTGCAGCAGGAGACATGGCCAAGCTCCTTCCAAAAAGAAGCCTGAACAATTAGACCATAACCCCAATTTGAACCGTACATGAGCCATAATCTAAACTCCCCAAAGTGGGCTATATAGGGGTTTTTATAGGGGACTACCTATACGGGGATATTATTAAGGAGGATACTAGGAGTTTAGATTATGGCTCACATGAGGAGACCCAAGGCTTAACATCCTCAGCCTTGAGATCTAAATTCAGTTTTAGCCCCACATGGGTGTCTGTCATTATAGAGACTGCTTCTTGGGGACCCGCAACTCCCTATGCGCATTATTGCTGGTTGTAATGGGCATACTATTGGCTCCCCATATACCGGAGTATCTAACTTTGCGGGAAGAACGCTGTCTTACCTGGTTCGACCATGAAAAAAAACTAACTGACTCAACCACCAGTCCCTGAACCCTAAGCCTTATAATCCCTAAACTCCCTGAGTTAGACCCTAAACCCGAAGCCCCAAACCCCGATCCCTGAAGGTTCCTCCCGAAGCGGAGCCAGGGAAAGGAGACGGACCGTCAGAACGGCCTGAGCCCACTCATTGAGCCTTTTCAACTGTTTTTTTGGGGGTCTAGGGTTTGTTGTATGTTTAAGGTATCAGGGTTTAGGGTTATTAGGGTTTGGGTTTAGAGTTTAGGGTTGAGGTTTTAGGGTTCTGGGCTTTTAGGAGTCAGGATTTAGCGTGTAGGGCGGAGGATGTTCAATTGAGGGTTGGCTTCGGCTAGAAATGGATGTATGGGTGCATCTGGTAGGAGCACAGGTATTTTCTACTAGGGTTAGATGATGATGATGACGACGATGAGGATACTTGACTGTAGGGATCTTGAAGCGTAGGATATGCTGCTTTAGAACGTAGCGCTTTTGTGACGCAGTCCATATCTCAAAGCAGGCCGTACAGGTTAGGCTGGAGGGGTTTCGGTTCAATACATTGGGGCCCTATGATGGGTAGGGTGATGAGGATCATCATAGGGATATATTGGGCCTAAACTGGAGCACATTTTCCGAGCCATGTGAGGGGTATGGCGGTATACGTACAACAAAAGCAACACGGTATGCCATTGTCAAGGGGTGTCCTCCTTTGCTTGAAAATCCTACACCCTAAACGTGTGAAATGTTTCAGAGAATGTGTGACATGTTTCAGGGGCCGCCGTCTAGATCGGTTTGGGGCCTGGTCCAAGGTATCGTTACTGCGATTGTTATCACCTAGGTAGTTTCTTGGCAAGTTGGTTTCCAGTAAAGTGCATTCTTGAATGTCTTCGGAGGCCTTGGTCTTCTCAAGATGGAAACTCTCCTAAACCCCAAACCTCACACCCCATCAACCCAATAAACCTTAAACCAGGAAACACGCTGGCTCTTCGCGTTTACCTAGGAGTGCCCTTGCACCGACCGCATCACGCTGGAGACGGTGAGTACTCCAACGATGCAGTCTCAGGGCACCTGTCATGACCCCGTTGCCAACGCTTCGTCATGCTTTGCTGAGGCGGGTGCTTGTCAAAGCTCGTAGCTCCTGAGCGCCCTCCAAAAAATCATCTTTGAGTGTAGTGACCTAGGCAAGAGAAGGTTCCCAAAAGAAAGGCCACAGTTTTAATGGTTCCAAGAATTATCAACAAGTCCATCCTTTTGTTTTTTACAGTTCAAATGTTGCATCAGCAAGAGCAACTTCGTTTCAGCTATTTCACCCTAGACCCTAATCCCCGAATAAACCCCAAAACCCTAAACGTCACTCCCTCAATCCTAGTCCCCAATCCCTAAACCCTTTTTTTCAAGGTCCAGAACATTATCCATGTGAACCGGTCCTCCACTATCGATGACGCGAAGCAGCCGTGGGGCTGCCTTTTGAAGCCCACCGGAGATCACTACGAGGCTTAGGGTTTGGGGTTTCGGGTTTAGGGTATAGGGTTTGGTGTCTAGGTTCTTGAGGCTTACCTTAAAGCTCCTAGGACTATAACGGGCTTTTAATGGAAGGTTTGGGCTTTGGGGGCTAAGGGTTGGGATCCTAGTATGGGGGCCCAAGAGCCTCAGGGTATGTGGCTGCGGGTTTATTGTTGGTTGGTTTAGAGAGTATGGCTTTGAATTTGTCTTCAGGTTTAGGGTGCAGGATTTGGTGCTTAGGGTTTAAGGTTTGGCGGCTTGGGGCTTTAGGTCGGGGTGCCCGAAATCCCTTGATTACCTTTGGCGTTCTTAATGGCAATCCACTTTCAAAACGAGTCTAGGCTGCGGCTATAATTGTTGAATGTACCTTACATGAATGATATGCTGGGGCTCACGTTCTTCATATGAACTGCTGTCAACATTCGGCTTAATGACCAAAAGACCATTCAAGGTGGAGTTGGGGTCCCTTCGATAGGTTAGTATAGTCCTAACATCCTCCCTGCGAAGGTAGCTCATATGGGTGGATCATCTGCTTCAATCAAGGGGCGAAGGGCTCCTAATTTGCACCCTAAACCCTAGACCATAACCCTTTGAGCATCCTGAACTTGTAAGCCTCTTCACGCCCCAAAAGATCCCCAATGCCTAAACACTGAAATTCTTAGAGCAGATGCTATAAGCCCAAGACGCTGCATGGTAAACCCTTCACCCTGTCAGCCTCAACATCCTTACGCTAAAGCCCAGATCATCAGCCCTGCCAGAATAACCGCCGTTTTGGCTCACTTGATGGGCTTGTTTTGCATCTGAAAAAGAAATTATCAGTAGTTTCGTGCACGTTTTGCTAATTTTCTGGATCTGTGCCATTGGAATGCCTACTTTTGAGGTCCCATAATTACCCCGAACCCTACCCTAAGGTACAGGTAGTTAAACCCTAATCCCAAACCCTAAACCCTAAACCTCAATAGTAGTTTCCATTTTCTTTTCCATTATCCCAATATAACCCCAATATTACTTATTGCAAGGCCATCTTCAACAAAGCGCAGTCTACGAAGACCTGTGAGTCGACGCAGCCGATGGAGTTGGCTGGGCAGGCACAGTTTTGGGTTTAGGGGGTTTAGTGGGCTTAGGGTTTAGGGGGTTTAGGGTTTGGGGTTTAGGATTTCGGGTTTCAGGGTTTAGGGGTTAAGGGGTTTAGGTTGTCGCAGTTTAGGGTTTAGGGCTTGCGCTGCCATTCTTATGACCGTCATTACTTACGCGGAAGCCACACCTAGTCGTAGTGACTATAACTACGGAGTGATGGTGGTTGTTTTGGGATTTTCTTGTACTCCTCTTGTACCACTAATACAGCATGTGGGGGTTCAACTAAGTTGTTATGTGTATGGCTGTTCATTGCAAATAGTATTGTTGTCGTGATGAAGATGCTCTTAAGTTTGCCAAGGGTACTGTGAACATTGCAATAATTCTCCCTGGCTCCCCCGCCCCGCAAAAATGAGACTTGTTTTGCAATTTCGGGCTAGGGAGCAATAATGGACCAGGGGTAGTAGTACTGCAACACAAGTAGTAGAACATCTTTGTCAATCGGGATATTCTTGGGCACGGATGTTTACTATTCGCACCCTTGAATAGTATTGCTGATCGAACTTGCGCGTGTTGATAGGCGTTTGGAAGCCCTACGTAGTCTTCCACACTTTGGAGCCTGGCAGGCAAGTTCATTGCCACCACCTTTGCTAGCCACAGGTTAAGAGTTAACAGTGGTAATAGTCGTTGTTGTCGCCATCGTTTCATGAGGCTTAGGGCTGAGGATTTCAAACAGGTTAGGGTCCTGGGACGGTGCATCCTGATATTGTAGGGTGTAGGATTTGGGGATGGTTGTAAGGGTTGGAACCCTAAACCGAACACTCACAGCCTAAAACCCTCAACTCTGAACCTACTTGAAAGGACCCTGAACCCTAAACTAGCCCTTAAAGAGGCGCAGCTGGGGCAGCTCACCAACCTAACGCTCCACACCAACAGCAGCAACGTGACCATTACCATCTCGGGTCCCGATGCCTACTGGTTCCTTGGGGACGAAACGGGAGGGTTTAGGGTTTATGGGTTTATGGTTTTATGGGTTTAGGGGTTTAGGGGTTTAGGGTTTAGGGGTTTAGGGTTTAGGGTTTATGGGTTTAGGGAGCTTTTTCAAGATCCTAATAGCCGGCTGGGTACACCTGAGAACTTGTTGGTTTCCTAGAGTCCTGCTACGTGGACAGGAGTCTGTCGACTGTTTTGGGCCCAGGGAACTCAGCAACTAGGTAACCAGCCCTTGACAGGCCTTCAAAATATCCCCAAACCCTAAACGCTATGATCCTACATGTTTTTAGGGTTTGGGGCTTAGGGTTCCAAAAGGGGTTTGTACTGTAGTAATTTGGATCACATGAGTCAATTCTCAGGGTTCATGTGTTCTTGAAGGTCTGGGTTGCTGTTAAGGAACTTAATTAAGTTAGCGTAATGGGTATATATATAGTAAATAATAGGGTTTCCCCCAATATAGTAACTTAATTTAAGTTCCTTAACAACAACCCAGAGGTTTGGTGTTGGCTTCAATGCTCAAGCCATGAGCGCTCTGCCCTATGCCGTGATCGTGGAAGCCGGTGGCCGCGTCTCCGAACGCAAGCTCGAGAACCATGGACCCGGAAACTCATTGATGGTTAGCAGGGAATCAATGATCTGATGAGAAAATGGAAGCTACTGTACAGAGCTTATAGGGTTTAGGGTTTTGGATGGATATATATAGCAGGGAATACAATAGCCTTTATATACTTCCTCATACTGTCGTACGGCCGGTAGCTTCCATTCCTTCATTTCTTATTGCCAGTAAGGAAAGCAGCTGAAGGCGTCCGTCACCCTGCTGTCCTCCACAGTCTCATCAAGCATCCGTACCGTCACCCTGACTCGATCGCTGCAGGGCCTTGACACGGATCATTACACCTTCCCCAGCTCGCCTGGACAGATAGATGTTATTACTGCTGTGGGCAGCACGCCCACCTTGTCTTACCACAAGGCGCACACCGGCGGCAAAATCATGCTTTTGCCCCAGAAGGAAGCAGCCTGCGTCTGTCAGCCTACGCAGACTCACTTCCTCAACTACATGAACAAAGATCCCTTGCCTTTTGAGAAGATTTTGCATGTAATCTGCTTTTCAGTACAGTCAGGAGGAAAACCAGACAAGATGATCTTTGACGGAGATCCGGACACTGACCCAGGATCGAAGTGAGTTTGAAGGGTATGCGTGTGCAGATGAGCCACGCTCAGACATGCTCAAGCATGGCGATGGCACCGGCCGCAATGTTTCCAATGCTGCCTGCCACCCACAGACATACCATGGTGGACTCCAATGTTGCAAGAACCAATATTTCTTGACTGACCTGGAGCAGGACCATCTCATTCCGAATGAGACAGACATCTATTTCCTGAAGTGGCGGTACTACTTCCAGGAGTCTCTGCCAATCCCTTGTCGTATTGCTTGTGTGTTCCAGAAAGATAAGGGATTTGGGGTGGATTCTTCGAATGGGGATTGCAAAGCGTTCTGGTAGTAGGATGACACTGATTGTTAACAACTGCCACTTGTCCGTAAAGCTAGGAATACAGCATGCCTAATCGTGCGATCTTACTTACCCCTCACGCCTAAACTATGTTGTAGACGCACCCTAAACCCTAAAACTTAAACTCTAAACCCTAAACCCTAAAAGCCCTAAACCCTACGAACCCTAAAGCCAGCTTGGCCAAGGAGTACCTTCCTGCATCGAGCAAAGCAGCCGCTTCACACAAGCATTTGCACCACTGGGTATTCCTCATCGACGAGCAAATCAATGACTACGAAGAGGAAGCCTGTTCTGTTGGATATCATCTTCCTTTGGAAGATCACAAAAATATCCCTAAACCCTCAACCCTAAATCCTTGAACACTAGATAACTAGAACTACCCATCAACTTTCAAGGATAGCGTCCAATATGGAACAGAGAGTGTGGGTCGCATCACAGCTCACGTGACGGGCAAAGAAATGGGCCTGGAAGACGTGCCCGTTGCCTACACTACCATTACACCCTTGGCCATCATCTCAGATAGGGCTTCCAGGGAAGTTTAGGGTTTAGGGCTTGGAATCTAGGGTGTAGTACCTAGTTGAGGACAGAACTCTTTAGCAGAAAGAGGCTTCCAAAGCGGGTTAAGGTTTAAGCTTCTCAAAGCTTGAATGAGAACAAGGACCTAAGAGAATGGAGGTGTTCGAGGCTCTGAAGGCAGAGCAGGTAGCAACGTAGAGCAATCAACAGAGGTCAGGTATATCCATTCTACCCAAATGAACGGTCGTCTGAAAGATGACACTCGAGTACGCCAAATCTTCTACTGGATTTTGTTGAATCGGGGCTTCTGATTTGCATCCTCTTAAAAAACTTTTGCAGGATGTTCTATAAATCGTAGTTTCCATTTTCTTTTCCATTATCCCAATACAACCTCGATAAATACCCTGTATATCCCCTATGAAATATCAAGCTCGCGGATTTGAGTGCTGCCTTGCCATCCATGGCCAAACTGACCCCCTATGTTTCATCCTGGAACATGGGTTTAGGGTTTAGGGTTTGTGGGGAAGGGGAGTAGACGGGAAATTGTAGGAAGATTGGTTTGCTTCTCTACCATTTCTGCTTCATGATCGACTGCCTCTACTAAAAAGTCAGGGTTTCTAGTTCCTGCTACTGCGTTGTAGTCGTGGCAGCATTGTGCGCTAGCTACCTCCAGCATCCCTCAAAACGCCCCAGGGCACTACTAAAGTACTGCAATGGCTGGCTGCTACTCTGCTAAGGTCATGACGCCGCATTGCCACGCGCCTAGCTGCCTTCGGGAGGAGTTGTGGAACGCGGACACAGGGGAGATCATTTGCAATGTCACTGCCCGCTACGGGAGCACAGAGTACGGCTCCGTGAACAATGTCTTCAACGAGGCGAACTACATTGCGCTGCCACCATGCATTTTCGGCTACCAGCCAGGCCTCCAGAAGCCTTTTACACTAACACCCAGCACGAGGCTTACTGCAATCAAGTACTTCAACAATACCTTCAGGCACCTCGGGCAGATGGCGCAGTGGGTGGGGCTTATGGTTTACGACTCCGACCCCATCGCGGAGGATTACGTGCACGTTTGAACAAGCTTATCTGGGTGAAGTCATTTAAACAAAGATGGCTAGCTAGAAGAGGTTTGGTGTACTTGAAGATCTTCCACGCATCTCCAACTTTGGTCGTACACAACACCTAACCTCCCCAGCTAGCATTATCATCCTACCGGAGGAAGGATTTTGGCCGGATTAGGACTCTACGAGGTCTCACAAAGGTACTGGGAGTTTTTCAAACTGCCGGGTCCCTATTTGGGGGTCCCCATATGAAGGGGTGCGGTATTCTTTGAGCGTGTAGGCGGAAACTGTGTTTGAGAGACGCCCAGTTTCCGGCAAACTCTTCATTCCAGTAGGAGTCAAGCACTAGCTTTGAAGTTTAAGAAAAACGTGCCATTCGCTTGGGGCACATGGAATCCTAAACCCTCAACCCTAAACCCTAAGCCGGACGTTGGAAGTGACGAGATGTCCAGCACATGCGACTGGCATTGTGGCGCGCACCCTGGGGATTGGAGCCGTGTCAGGTCTAGGTGGGATGCTCCCTGATTCACTAACCGTCGGATACTGGACAAGCTACCAAGATGTTAAGCCTTGAACGTCAGCATCTGCAATCCCCTCCCTCTAATATGAACCCACCCCACCCCCCTAATATTTGACAATCCGCATTGTAGTGTTATATTATATTATGAGTATTTGATATTAGTGGGGTTGAATATTAGGGGGAGGGGATTAGAGACTACCGAATGTCTGTGATTATTTGGGTCAGGGGGTTTAGGGTTTAGGGTTTCGGGCTTGGAGGGTCCAGGGGACTTAGTCCCTGCAACCCATACATTAGTCCAAGTTATCCCCCTCATTTAATCACTTACTAAGTCCTCCTGACCCTAAACCCAAAACCCAAATCCTAAATGATATGAGCCATAGTCTAAACGCCTTAAAGGGGGATTATATAGGGGAATATATAGGGGACTATTATAGGGGTTATTAAGGGGGATACTAGGAGTTTAGACAGTGGCTCATATGCTAGTTTCCATTTTCTTTTATTCATCGACTTAGGGAGCCCTCCTGACCCTCCAGGTCCCCAGGGTGTAGGGTTGGCTTAGGGAGTTTGGTTCTAGCAACCTGCTGGAGACCTCGGCATGGTTTGTATCCTGACCAGTGTCGTGATAATATGGGGTTTAGGATTTATAGGGTTTATAGTTTATAGTTCAGGGTTTTTCTAAATGATACCCACATCGTCCCTAGTAAGGACTCCCCATGATCCCTGCAATAAATTCTTGTAAGAACCCCACAACCCTGAGCCGTGGCTTTCTCTTCAAGAATCGGGGGGCTGGAGGTCTAAGGTTGCAGGCGTCAGGTTGCATTGTTCCTTTGGAGTGTATGACTGAAACCCTACCTGGGCCATGGATGGGATGTCCCACCTTTTTGGGAACATATAGTCCCCCTTAAGTGTAGATAGAATATGCGGTATATGGGGATTTTATCGTAATATACCCAAAGCCATATTCTTTCTACTTACAGGGGCTATAGCCCTACAAATATGTAGGAGAGAACCCGTTCGGGTAGACCCTGCTTCACCGCAGACCCTGAACACTAAGTCTCCCTCTCAGCGGTGTAGGGTTTAGGGTTTAGGGAAGCGTAGATCCTCTCAGACACCCCTGGGCTCCCTTACAATTAGCTTTAAGTGTCCTTCTTGGGGGCTTGTCCTATTTGGGGTTGCTCTAGGAATCCATAGATGGCAACTTCTAAGCCAGCTGCGTCCGCGAACAGGGTGCGAAAGAGGCTAGTACAATACTGACCTACGGAGGGAATACTGAAATTGTGCCCTGGTTCTACCTAATAGTTCTTTCTACCTGCCTTCATCGGCTACACAAATAAATTTGTGTCAATCTGTGTCGTACCCTACACCTTACTTGGACCTGGAAGATATCCAAAACAATGGCCCAAGACCTTAAAAGAGTCAAGATCAGGTTATCAGTCTACATAATGGTTGGGTTCAGGTCGGTTCTAAATGGTAGTTTTTTCCTAAATAGGGGGACCCCCCAGTATAGACCCCAAAATGCTATAGTCCTTGTTATTGGAACCACTAAAAAAGAACCCAGAATTTTGGGAAGCCTCCCAAAAAAGTTTAAAAACAGGCTGTCTCACTCTGGACAGGCTCTGTCTACATCGTCAAGCCCAAGCAGCATGGTCCTGAGGCCATGGGCCTGTCTGGCTGTACATCCCAAGCATGAGGTTCACAGTTAAGGGAAGGTTGAGGGTTTAGGAGTTTAGGGCTTAGGGTTCGGCTTAGAGTTCGAAAGCTTATGCCAATGTAGTCACGAATATGAAGTACCAAAGTCCCTACAGACCCCCATGGCCACTTCTGGATAACCCGAGACACATTTGCCCTGTACGCATTATGGGTAAGGATGCAAGCTGCGCACTCGCTGCGTGAGTTTTCGCGAGACCTGGGCTGCTGACAGTCCTTGCAGATGTGCAGCAAGACTTTGCTCATGATTTTCGTGTAGTTGGCGCCCAGCAGTAGGCCACCGCATAGCCTAAAATGCGCAGACTACGTGCAAACGTCTACTTCACGTCTTAAATCTGAGACTGCCATCCTGTTGTGAGTAGTTGCTGGAGTCTCCATCGCAATCACTTATCCATTCCATATACCCCCACTGCAGTGGCTGCGCAACGCGGTTTAGGGTCAGGGTGTGGGGCTTTTGTATGCCCCAGACATTAAACTTGGACCCTCATAGTGAGCTTCCAACCCTTAGCCCCTAGAACCCAAACCTTACCCCAGAAAGCCCATCAAGCTGGAGGGTAGACTTTAAGATGAAGTTATCATGATATGGGTGTAAATATATATATATATACACATATATATACATGTCAATAATAGGGCTTCCTTATTACAGTAACTTAATTTAAGTTCTTTAAGAAACCCAGTCTAAGTTTGTGCAGGAGATTGCCCTGACCAGTCGACTCTTCGGCCGAGCGGAGGAATTCTTCGGTCTTCGCCGGAACACTATCAAGATCCTCAGCTTTGGGGCATTACCTCCTATTTGGGGGTTTCGAAAAATTAGGCGTACTCTTTTTTTGGAGACATTTACAGTAGGTAAGGGTTATAATATTTCGGGGTCTAATTTGGGGTCCCCCTAATTTTCGGAAATTTTGTTTTGAGGTTTAATTAGGGTCTAGGTGAAGTCGTAGGATTCTCTACTACCCTCCCTTCTACACCCCCTCCCCCAAATAAAGCCTGGGTATGCCCCAGGGCGTTGTTTGGGGTCTATGTCACATGTGGGGGCGGGTTGAAAACTGCACGGGGATCATGGTATCCCTTAGCAGGACCCTCACCCTGTAATCGTGGCATAATAGGGATATAATCTGTATATCATCCCTTGTAGTCACTATTACATGGCAGGGGGGGTCCACCTAAGGTATCCCCAGTAAGTGATTCTATAGGGGGCTTGAGAAAGTCCCTGATGAAGGCTTAGACGCTGCAACCTTCACCCTACTCCAATGGTTTAGGGTCCCATAAATCCTGTTCCCTAAACCTTAAAACTTAAACCCCATAAACCCTAAACTCTAAGCCTTAAACGCTAAACCCTATAAACCCTAAGCCTTAAACCCTAAACACCCTGAACCCCGAGGATGGGCATCATGGACGAGGAGCGCCGGACCAGCGCTAACCTGCGCGAGTGCCTTCGAGCTGCTATGGAGCGAGCATCTTGGCAGGTAGAACGGGATAGTAAAAAGTAATCATATGCGTCCTAGAAGTAATGGAAATAGTAGAAGTAAAAGTACTAGAAGCAGCTGTGGAAATGGTAGATCTAGAAGTAGGATAAGAAGTAGCGGTTGTCGTGGAGGATGGGTCTCGTGGTAGCTTTGGGGAGGGTACATAGTACATAGTTTCAATGTGAAGGCCGGAAGACATTGCGCATTCGACTTCTGATCCGAACTTGGCCAGGGTAGCAAAACATATTTCAAGAGACTCTGGCTCACATGCTTCTACAATGGGAAAGATCTTATGATAGGATAGGGTCGCACTCGGGAGACTGACATCTATCCCAGACGCGGGCAAGGTGTTCATGCCAAACTGTTTGCGGGCTGTGTGCTCGTACGACTCCTAGCACCAGGGCTTCAACCCAGGACTTCGTTCTGCACTAGTTTTGCTCGACGTGCTAGCCAGATGTCTCAAGTTTGCAGGTATTCCTTTTATTCCATCTCTTGCTCAGTGGATAGCAGCAAAAGTATGCACCACAGATCTCAGTCTCGAGACATGAGACATGACCACAACCCGCAACTCCTGTACAACCCTGTAGGGCTCGAAGAACACGGTTTAGGGTTTAGGCCTTTGACCATGCTTATGCATGTCTTGGTTCCTTTGGCACCCCTCTTTCGAAACCCTCCCTCTGTAGGTGAGTAGTGACCTGTGTTATAATCCAGCACCATTGCGCCTAACGTGACTTAAGATAATATGTTGTTCTAGGCCGTGATGAAACAAACCCTAAACCCTAATACCCTACCTGGTTTAATTCCGAAAGGCCCTACATCCTACGGCTTTTCATCCAAAATCCGGAAATGTTCAACCCTAAACCTTCAAGCCCTGAAATCCATTTGGGTGGTTTTGACATATTTTTGGATCCCCATTATAATATGCCACCAAATATCTAGGGTACCCAAAAGGGACCATAATTTTGACAACCACCCAATTTGCTTTAAAAAAGATGAACCCTTGGCCTCTCAGGTGTTCTTCATCAACACTGGTTTCCTGGATCGCACCGGCGACGAAATCCACACCTGCATCTTGGTTTACGGTTTGGAGATTTGAGGGCTTGGGCTTAGGGCTTGAGATTTTGGAATTAAGTTTTGTGGACTGATGGGTCTGAGGTTTTAGGACGTAGGGGGTTTACCTTATGGGAACCCCATCCTCAATAGGAATCGGATTGTACGAGGACATTTAGGGTTTAGGGTTTAGGGTTTGGAGACACCGTTCAGTAGTTCTTGAGCCCTATCCGGTGTAATCATGTTGCGCCTATATCAAAATGCAAAAT